TTTACATATCAGAAGCTCGAGGATCAGATTTTTTTAGCCTGACCTTGGCAGACATCTAGCAGAGGGTGGAGTTCAGACAAAATTAATCCCCTCCTATCTACCTACTAGCTTATTAAAGATCTTTTCGTAAACAAGACCAAATCTTCAAGCCCACTGCTCCTCTCACTTTCCTAGTACCCAGCCCGCAAAATGAAAATTAAAAGTTGCCAGACCAGAGGGGGTGAAAGTACAGAGTGGAGCGGAGGAGGAGTAACCATCTTTAACATAGCTAGCTTAACACAGACGCCTTCCGTTTCGCTAAAGTTCAAGCCACAAGGCCACAGTTCGCTCTGGGCGAGCAGACACGCGTGCACCCTACGCATGCGCTCAGAAGGGACCCACCCCCACCCGCCTCTTTCAGCGGACCTCTTCAGCCAAGTCACCAATTAGCCCTCTAAATGCCCGCCCTCAAGGCTAAACCCTTGGCCAATCGGGAGGCAGGAGCCGTCAGGCACATCACTTATTTAGCATACACCCTCCTCTCTCCGTCCCAAGGCCCCGCCCCGTCTGAGGCCGGGATTGTCGCCTAAGCGCTTCGTTCTGGCACCTGATTGGCTCCCTTGCCAGCTCCGCCTCCGTCTCCTCCCGCCGCCCTCCCCTTTGCGCTCCCACAGCGGCGGGCGGAGCTAAGTACGCAGGCGCGGGCGCTGCCTCTCTCTTCTGGTGGCCCGCCCTCCCTCCTCCCCCTCCCTCCCCTCCCCACCCCCTCTCCCTTCCTCTCCGGGCCTGCGCGCGAGTGTCTTCCTTCTGCACGCGCCGCCGATAGGCAAGCACTGTCGACGGAGTCTCTGGCCCGCGCGTTCCTTTTCCCCTCCGGCTGCGGAGCGGGCGGGATTCCGCTCCGCGAGCGCGGCAGCAGCGGCAGCCCCGGCGGCCTCGAGCGGCGGCAGAGGCTCGCGATCCCCCAGGCGGACCGTACCACAGCCCGCCAGCACGCGGGGGGAGCCGCCCGCCCCGCCGCACACGCCTCGGTGACCCCGCGGGGCTGAGGCGTCGCCGCGCCCGGGAGCGTGAGCGCAGAGCCGGCCTCGACCCCGAGCTCGGAGCCCCGCGGGCCGCGCCCGCCGCCGGCCCCACCCATCCGGGTCGAGGAGGCTGCGGCCATGGCCGAGACGGAGGAGCGGAGCCTAGACAACTTCTTCGCCAAGAGAGACAAGAAGAAGAAGAAGGAGCGGAGCAGCCGGGCAGCGAGCGCCGCGGGCGC